AAAAAATAAAATTAAAATAAGTTTATAGCCACAATAATTAAAGCCCGTACACTAGATCAGATTTTAATCAGATTGTATTAAAACAAACTTGCCATTTTCTTCCAGTTTCTCAACCAGATTATTTCATACGAGTTCCTTCTTTTTTTTTTGAAATTTTGTATTTGTTGTTCTGACGACGGGGATTTATTTGCTTTCGGACTCAGACCAATTTGACATCCTGGCATTTGGTGAGTACCACCATTGTTCCACTCACTCCGGTGAGATATGCAACTCCCCCTGTCAAAATCAGCCCCCCACATCATGATACACTTTCCGGAATCCACGGTATCTGTTTTCCAAATCAGACCGGAAACCCCCGAAGGCTCGGCTTTATCTACCGACTCAAACTTTCCATCTTGTTAGTTATCCAATCCCACGTGGCTGTAATGTTTACGCTGTTTGAAATAGACCATTTGTAGGGCTTCAATGACACGTGATACTTGATACAGAGTACGTCATCAAATTCGCCATTTTTGTTCACTGTAGTTCGTAACTAGTTCTAGATGTATATCTGTCACAGCAGGGCATAAAAGGCCGGTAAATGTTAAATTTGAAATACCGTAAAGTCATCATTTTGGTGCACATTTGAGCATGCATGTCTACCAACCGCGAACTAGCCGAAAGTTACGAACGTAATCGAACAGAATACTAGTAGCACGGGCTCTAGAATCTCGCATTTGGTATGTTAGTTAATAGAATAAAAAGTGATGATGGTCGAATACCATGCTCTGTTTCTTGTTGATCGGGTGACTAACTTTCATTCCGCACATGCGCACCGGGATATATTAACATTCAGCTTGTTTTTCAAATATTTAAATCATATCCTAATATCAGACGTTCCAAAATTATCAATAACAAATGATAACAAACATAATTCTGTGTTTTATTTACGAAATGAGATAAAAAGCTGTTAGCCGGCGCGCAACGCGTGTTCGAATTACAAGCGTAGTATGTCGCATGCAGTGGGACGTCTATCGAACACAACGCGGTGCAACGACTGACTGTAAAAAATACTGGGAAGTTATAATCTAACATGGCATGATAGCACTGGTCTTATACTGTGCTCAGTGCGTTGTCGTTATTGAAATAAACCGATGCTGCGCATTAAACACAGAGTAAGACCGATATGTAAGCATGCATGTCTGAACGCGAGACACAATTCCTTATCTTGCAATATACAGTCTATAAAGCCGAAGGTGAAACTAACTAAAATAATATTTACGTTCTGAATAACCATCTAGTCACGATGATTTATAACGAAATATTAAATCTCATGCATCCCTGCCAATATAACCATAATTTATTTATAACGCGTTGGTGTTCTCAAGACACGACCTATGTGTATTATTAATTCGAATTCCAGGCGTAGCTTTCTTTACTAAAGACATTACAATGATGGCACGAGAAACCCCGCTATATTGGAATCATGTCAACGGGATTTCTTGTTAATTACATGTGACGTGCAGTGAACACGGCGACACTACCACTGTGAATGTTTATCAACTCACGCAGGGTGAATTACCGAAGGCTGAGCTGTGATATAATGCAATCGAATGATTTTTACTGTTTGTGTGTCAAGAGAAGACACTTTCTCTATCCGGACTTGAGTCAGGTCTATAACGTGTGTGCATCGAACAGACATCGATAAGCGTCACAGAAGTGGCGTAGTGGTGAAAAGAATTCACGACGGACGCCAAATAATTAAAGTTAGGACCATAGCGCAAACCGTGATTCATCTCCGATGTGTCGTAGGTCAACTACACATCTGCTAAGATACTTGTTCAATTTCTTAAGCTGTGCCGGGTGAGATATTACTTGCAGCCAGTTGACTAACTGTTAATCAGAAACAAACACTGACGAATGGAGAGTGAATTAATACATGTTTTCATCACGTTCCTATAGGTCAACGTTATACCCCCTACCCTTTGTTCTACTCCGATGTCAAAATTTGAATATAAAAAATAGCCCGATACGTGTTCGTGGCGGGAAGTAAATATTCGCCACAACTTTTCGTTGGTGAAGAGGTAGTAATCGAAAAATCGAACTACTCGTAGCGGCGGGGAGTAAAATCACCGTTACATGGCTGACTATATTGCATTGACCGGTATGGTCACAAGCATTGGCTGAATCGACTCGGAGGTCACGGCTGGGATGGGTGAAGGAACTCGGAGGTCTACACATCGTGGGCAGAACCTGTCCCCTTGTTCTGTTCGTACTCTAAACTGAATGCACTTTACTTGTTGTTGTCATGGGGACTAATTGACACAAAAATAACTAGGAGTAGCACAACAGTATGGACGCACTGTGGATACGGCTTACGCCATCTACTACTTAACTAGTATTTTCAAAATAGAATATGCATATTATACGTATGTGTTGTTCTAAAACCCATTTCTACGCCAACCAATGGGTTGAAAGTCTTTGCGAATCATAATGATCAGCCATGATTTTTAGATATTTCTCAAACTTATATTTCAGTTTACCTCCGTGTATGTCCTTAGTTTGTAACTGTCCTAGTACGATTGTGTGTCTCAGTAATTTTTGAGTAAATCTTTCACTTTTGTGTTGAATACTGACGGGTTTTATTTATATTGTTTTCCTGCTTCTCTGAGTTGTTAAATGTAAGTGTTTGTATCCATTGTGATGGATACACATTTCTGTTTGGTATGTGTATTTTACACGTGCTGTATACGTCGCTATGAGTCCCATATCGAACAGGACGGGGCGCGACAACTTCCGCCATTTAATCATCACTTCATTAAAGCAAAGAAATTAGAAAAAAAAATTTAATATCTTTCATTAAAGGTGTTTTAATAGCGAAAATCGACTTATTGCATTCACCGTCTCACATGCACGGACTTCTCCTTCTGAAATCACGTGACGTTTCAAGATATTGATTGATAATAAACAGATAATTACCATAACATATGTCCCTCCTGGAATTTAAGCCTGTCTCTGCAGTTCACACGTAAGCCACATCGTGAACTTCTCGTGATATATGGGTCAGCAAGTGCTACCATAAACAACGGTCGGCCCATGTAACGTTCAAAGCGAAAGCCTAAATTCCAACGAGTCAATAAAAAACAGAGAATATTGATATTCAAGCTGGTATTTTATCAAGGACATTACTTACAATGTCAAGGATATACAAACTTGAAGTTCGGGTTGGCACTATAAAATATTTGTAAGCTTTGAAACTATCTTCGATTGATATTTGTTTTGAACACGGATTGTTAAAGTGACTGCTTAATATCATTACTAATTTCAATATTCCGGACACAAGAACACCAGTTTGTCGAAAGTACAGTGCGTTAACGGACATAAAACAATGAGCAACATGTTTGGAAACGCATGTTGCAGCAAATAACTTTTTGCTTTGATAAGGTCACTGGTGAATGGTGTTGAACTTAGCACAACACATCAACTATGACGATCTTGACGTTTACGCGTGACACTTAACTCGATCGCTGCACCAGTCAAACATGAAGCCCCTTGCATATTAAGTCATGCAATATAATTTTGGAAGTCAAATATTCACAGTTAATAGTCTATATAGAAGATATTTATTTTTAATTACCCGCAGTTCGTTCCCGACACTCTGGCTCAGTAATTACTTCACGAAAAACTCGTTCCGTTTCAATTTATTTAAATTCTGGCTGTATATATATATAGAAGTCGCATTATCAACTGACAAGTGGACTTTACTGTAGACAAATATGTATCGATTGGTGATTGATTCTCGCTACTCTTGATTAATTTCACATAACATAAATCATTGAATCGACCAAAATGTCATCAGAGTTTGTTGTTACAGTGTTAGTGCAATTCGTTTGTATTCACCCCGGACGGCGATAACGAACGTTCAAGTCAACTTTACCTTACTCGGCGTAGGTTGATCAAGTGCCATTAATTGCCCAATGTAAACCGATTATCTACTGCAGTGAGGAGATAAAATCCACTTTCCACCAAGAAACCGTCACACTGCGCAAACATAGCGCGGAAATCATCGGTGATTTAATTGGGATTTAAAGAGCAAACACTACCGTCGGGCCCGCATCTTTCTTAGCAAAGCTGTTAAATAAATTACATTATACCCATATGCAAGTCTGTGATGATGAATCATGTTTATCTTTTAGTAGGGTACACTCAGATTGTGAATAAATACATCACCGACATATGAAATGCGCCCCATGAAATATATACTGAGTATTTCTATCATTTATCAGACGGAGGTCAGTCGGGAGGGACCAGGGGTCGTGGGGTGAACTGTCACTGTCATTTAGTCTGAACGTTATTGCGGATTAATTACATTTATAGCTCCCAGATTTGAAATTAGACAACATGTCAAGTACGTAATGACATGCTACATGGAAACACCACATCATCTAACAGTGGTTGCGTGTGATTTCATGAACATGATACTATACGTGCATAATGTAAAAACGTTGCTGTAATATCAGCCATATACTAAACGTATTAGGAAACTGTTTTAAAAGAAAACCAACATTTATTATCTAACCAAGTTGTGAAGGATATTTATCACAATAGGTAACATACGTACTCGATAGCAGTATTCAAAATGTCCAAACAAGTTCACGGTGTCACTTTGGATAAATCTAGTACTACGACCATCATAGAGAAAATAGCGTATATCTGGTTAAACCAGGCAGTGGATGGAACCAGGGCGTCGAAACGACGTCATGCTACATCGAATGCAAATATTCGGAGTATACGTAATATATACAAAATAACACTCGTTTTTGTTAGTTAGACACCGTCTATCATTTCTCATAGTAAAAAAAAACACATTATATTGTCCTCTATTTCATTTCTCTTTAGAAGAATTCAAATAATTAATTGTTCTGGAAAGACAAAATTAGTGGGCCATGTGTTATTTAACAATGGAAGTGTGTTAATTCCGCCATTTATGTTCTTTCCTTCTCCGAAAATATACAAACTAGGCGAGATTACATACATATTATATCGTCGTCATAGTTCAATATCAAAAGAGGTTGCCAAATATGTTCATGATCACATCACTATTATTCATTTCATAGATGTATCCGAGCAACTTTCGTCTATTGTAATGTCTTCTTCGCCATCATTAACGCTGCCATTATCATCATCTTCGTCGTCATCATCGTGACTCTCTGTGGTCAGTGTTTTGGCAGCAGATAGGTCGTTATTCAATTCCTCTACGTCCCTCTTCAATTTCGCACGTCTGTTCTGAAACCACGTAATAACCTGTGAACTACTTAGGCCTAAACTCGAAGCTATTTCGTCTCGATCTCCAGGCGATAAGTATTTTTGATACATAAACCGTCTTTCCAGTTCGAATAACTGTTGGTTTGTGAAAGCTGTTCGAGATTTTCTTTTTTTCCTAGATGAAGAATTGCGTTGACTGAATAGATTGAGATGCGATTTTTTTCCATCTTTCGCTGCTGCTATGAAAAAACAAAAACAAAACAAGATGGTGTTAAAAATTAGGTGACTACAAAGTATTTTCTTTGTTAATGAATGTTCACTGTCCGCTTTGTCCAAAGTTTCGTTCGGAGCGCGCACTGTTCACTATTGTACCGCTCCCATTATCACGTCTTCAAATAGACACTCTTGCTCAGTTATGTTCCGTCTCGCATTTAAGCAAATCTGGAACTGCGTATTAGCCTAGCTGCCACAATGAACTGACATGCCGTGGTTACTTTCAATATCACACAGAGAGATTTTCGATACATGGTTTTACAGAATTTACTACTGCAACAATCATGTATTAAAAGTTGATATTCGACTAAAGTCTCCAGATTCATTGTCGCGAAATTGAATAGTAGTTTTATTTCATCTATGATTGCTGTCAAATGCTAGTGACATTTGCACATCACAAAAGATTGCGATCAATGCGACGGCGCTGTTGAGTAGTTTCCTAATTTATTTTCTTCACAATATTTTGAATGGGTTGTTGTGTGGACGCGGTAGATTTTTACGGGAATAGTAGACGAATATTTTAGTTGTTGTGCAATTGCGGTAGTTTGTTCACTTGACGAGATTATTTAATTTCCATCATATTTTACTTGTTTTTATTCAATAGCCGTTATGAGGTTATTTATATATAAACCATAACAAAAGAAAAGATGAATCAATAACAATAAATAAAATATTGAAAAAAATAATGGATTCTAATCAGATAGTGGTAATATTTGATTTTCATCTACACGACGACAAATGTACTCTTAGTTTAAATTGCTACCAACGTTATTATTTAGCCCCCTTTTATTTTAAACGACTACACATTATACGACGACTTCTTGCAGTACAGTCGCCTTTAGTTAGTTTGATATACGAGCTCCAAGCGGAAGACAACAAATAGCAGACTTACAAAGTTGCCGACTCCACGATACAGGGATTTAATTATTGCATTCAACAATACAGTCAAACGTCAATATTACATCTGATCGACTGTTGTTTATTATGTTATTTTTCTGACATTCGACCTCTCAGTATTAACTCGGCAATTATACACGGACGTACTTGCTATAAACCTTTGATCGACAGTTGTCATATGTCTTTCGTCACCGAGTTCTAAAGACACCAGATGCCGATGAATTTATACTTAAAACTGACATTTTACATTCATTGTCGTCTATTCGGCAAGTATGCATTGTTACCGAGCCCCTGATGTCAGTCTTGTGAGATGTCAGTGTTTTTTGCGCATCGAAACATTTGATGATTAACCACAGGGTGCCGAGGTTCGTCAATACCGTACGTGCCTTTCAATACTTGTCCTACAACAGGCGAATAATTTATTGAAACAGACGCGGAACTGATCGTGAAATATATACATATTTCACCGACCGCTGTGCTACTTTATCGTAAATGCGTACGTATCTGTGTCACTCCAGTTTCCTCTTCGCTCGTAACATGGATGACCCAGTGTTTGGAAATTGACACACGGTTTCTCGTAAATGAAAAAGAAATGTATAGTTGAGTTGAGGTCAACAATAACATAACAAATCTACTTCTTAACTGGATGTCGTTGAGACGTCTGTAATAAGCTAATGTGTAAACGTATCCGTCACCAAAGTTCATCATTTTATTTTTATCTGGTAATGTGTTAGTAATTACTGAGATTAAATTTGCTGTAACTTCCATAATTAAAGGACAATGAAGAAAATTAATTTCATTTTCCACGGAGACGCGTCTTGTCAGACAAGTTGATTGTCGTAAATTGTGAACCTTCATTTGACTTGCTCACGGTTACGGTGGAAACGAGTTAAATCAGAATATCTCTACAAATTATCGCTTACACCCTCGAGTATGGATGTTTTCAGATACAAATGACTAGTTGTGGAATGAATCACTCGATGTTAACTTACCCTCGGCAGTTTTGATAATGTTTTCTTCCAGTCCTTTGAACGTCTCTTGAGTGAGTTCTTCTAAAGCGTCCAGTGGTGAATCCGGAGTCATCTGGCTGGATGTGGCAGTGACATGACGGCTACCATGCGGTCTACAAGGCTGTACGGCTACATGGTGATGGTCAGCTTCTTTCGACCATCGATGATATCGCCTACTTGGAGATTTCGAGTTCAAAATATCCCGTATCGAAAATGGTGTGAGTGGCTTTGTAGGGTTCGCCGGTGGAGGTAGATGAACTTTCGACAAACGCTCCACTGGGTCAACTTCACAATTTCTCTTCGTCCTCGTTGATACTAGTTTCTCGGCTGATTTGTTTTCCGGCATGGCAGATACGACGTACCACGGTCTCAAAAAATGAGTATCAGAGCCGTTAACAAGACCTCTTCTTACCATAACATGATTCACGGCGTATTGACTGGCTATCACTTGCCTGACTTCAAGAGTGTTACGGGTTTTTTTTTCCGACTCCTTGAGAGGGTGAGAGGAAATACTGTCTGGCTAACAGGGTGGTACCACCTACTACATCGAGAGATTAGAGCATCTGATTGGCCAACAACTGAAAGTCCTTGTCAATTGCTAGAATTTAGGGCCAATCGTACAGTCCGTGAAAGTGATATCATTAATTAGCAATATTGGGCGGGGTGAGTCGGGATTGGTATTTGCGGAAGTTGGATAAACAGCTCCCAGTCCTGTCATCTGAAACTGGCCGGTGTCAGAGACTCACATAGCTAATCGTATCTCTCGTGTTACACTTGAAACCCGCGTTGCCCTTCAAGCGTTTTAATTAATTTGTTCAGACGTACCAGTTGGTACTACCAGTCTTATCTTGCCTTGCCACGACACATGCAATAAGTCAACTTTACAAATCAACTTAAGACGATAGTTCAATGTAAAAATGCAGTCAAAAGGAAACGCGTAAAGCAATAAAATTAAAGTGTGTTTTCAAAACAAATAACAACTGCGCATATATCAGGAGCCGTAATTATAGTTGCAAGCGTTAATATTAGTATTGTGATGCGTATTCACACATCGCTCATTTACCAACATTTATCTTACGATTTTATAGTTGAATGATGGCTGCCGGCAGTGGTGACAAATCGGCTGTGAAAAACCAACACGTACTTGACGGTGTTTGAATTATAAATTAAAACAAAAACGAATTCGCGCAATGGTCGTTTTGATGGAAAACAGATTCTTTGACGGACTCAAGCAAACTTATCGCTCGATCTCATGGCACTGAATTACCGTCGTGGTGCGGAAGCAAACCATATCAAGGTATTAAAAAAAGCTAACCGGACTTGCTCACTGAAATACTTTCTCCGTCAATTATGATCTTACTCATTGTGAATCCTTAAAAACCTACATATGTCAATAGAAGCGTTCGCGCACTTAGCACGGACTGTAAAGTCAATATCGTTACCCCGTACTAACAAAACGGGCCAGACCGCGCAGTACGAACTAAGAAACTGTCAGTCCGAGTTTGATGCGATCCCGGGCTTGTTAAAGTGCGGTGGTCGTCGCGCAACGCGTGTTGGAATTTCATGTAAGTGAACAATGTATTGTACACGCGTTGTATACGTCGCTATGAGCCCCATATCGAACAGGACGCGGCGCGACGACTGCCGCCCTTTAACGGTCCAGTCCCTTTGGTTAGAACTCACGGAGAGTGTGCGAACGGCTAGCTCGGACTAAGTGCCTTCTGGGAGTATATTTGGCAACAGATCCCACTGTACCGTATTCGTTGTTCATTTGAACGAGTAACTTCGTATATTCAGAACTAGTCATTTCGGTATGCCATTACAGACGTGACAAGCAGCGTAGTCGCGTCTAGAGACTTTGTTGTCAAGAACAAAAATTGACTAACGATGAAACTCTCTACTACTCTCTATTGTCTTTTGCCGTTGTTAGTGTACATGGTATAACCTAGGAACTAAAATGCATACCATCGCGTTTAATAATGACAGCAACTTTTGAAATCAAAGGCCTTTAGTACTTCAATACTACTAACAGTATCCCCTGCCCCTAACGTCAACACAACTGGGTCTACTTGATATACAAACATGGGTCTACCTTTAATTTTAGTCCGCAGTACAGGGTAGACTTAAACAACTAGTTTGAACAAACCTAATGATAAGTATATCTGGAATTCGTTACAGCGACGACCGTCATTCAGACTCACGGGGAGTTTAGTTTGTAAATGGGGGTGAAGTAATGTTACAAAGATAAAATTTTTGCTCCTCTTAGTAACAAGTAGAATTTTCGTTATTGTAGTAATCATGCCCCGATGATGACATGCTTGGAAAGCGGATACTGATCCAACGTACGAAAATTGTATTCATGTAACATGGCCTGTTGTTATTAGGGTCACATCTCAAAGTTACTTCTATTTGCATTATATTCGACGCTAAAATTATGAAAACAACCCGAAAAGTAAGTATTTAATATGACATGTTCATTTTCGGCTGTTTCTGTGCTATAAGACATAGTGACTAAACAGCGCAGCTCCGAAAAAATAAATTAATATCCCGGACGTTTTCCTGATCGCTGAAAACGGATAGCCCGACACGGTTAAGTGTTGTTTTTCCATCCAGCGTCCTTTTAAGTTTGCCGCAGAGCGCGACATGCCCGACTGATCAAACCCGAAGCCCTAAAACAAATTCCCAGCGAGAGCCGCATCCTATGTGGTCACTGGTTTGCAGGATTGTTCATTTCATCTCCCGTGGCTATTATCTCTTAATGCGGCGGCCCGCACTGTAAAGGACACCCTGCGAATGTGTGGATGAGTGGACGTCTTGTTAGTCCTTGTTAGCGTCATTGTTTGCCCTGCATTTGCGTAGCTCGCCATACCGAGCCTCGACCCCGATCTCAAAACGTATTTATCCATGTCAGAAACAGCGCTAACTTTGGAAATGCTCGAGGATCGATTTCACAGTTTCTCGCCGCGGCTGTCAATACGGATAAGCATCATCGATGTTGTTATCATCTGTTCTTTGACAAGAGCTCACCGATGATACCCTTGCTACTGACATCAAAACCAAACTAAGGGTCTGGAAACTTACAGAGGCTGTCACGTCCAGTAAACAGCACCCCACTTTTTAAAACTTGATTTCGATGCGTAAGGCTCGTAATTGATTTGGTGTCATTTATATATATCCCGTATTACTAGCGCTCTTTTTTAACTCTTGGTAATTTTTGTAAAATTAAGGTATTAACTTCCATTCAATTATAATGTTATTTATTTTCATATGGATGTTTCTGGTAATATACGATGAGTTGGATGAATCTGAATCTTTAAACAGTCGTATTTGTTTTGTAATTCGTGTAGTAAGTCTCAACTTTGGACTTCTCGCGTGATTTGTAAACCTACTAATTCATGATCATTTTTCGCTGTATCCCACGAAAATCAGAACTTAGATGCGATATGCCTTACTACATCTGCGTTCCTCCCTGGAAAAAAACTATATTTATTTCCATTGCGGGCAGCGCCCTCACACGTTAATCACGGAAAGCTGGATATTGTGGATCTAACTCAGTAAAACGCTGAACGCGCATACACAGTTGTTAGTTATCAACCAGGAAGCAGTAGCGGATGTAATACTCTTTGGATCCCGTAAATTTAAGCGACATGCTATAATAAGCACATTTATCAACTAACGGGCACTACATCCTGATGTTAAGGTCAACTGAGCCCTGGAGCGTTGGGCTTCAGTGATGTATACAGCGGATGTATAGTATAAGTCACATACTATAACACCAATAAGTCTTCTTGGACGACATTGTAAAAACTTTAAAAAATGGGGTTATTTTATAAAGACAGTGTAATCAATGCACACAACATGTACTCAACCCGGTTCACATAATTAAGGAATCCTTAGTGCCTTCACGTATGGGGTGCATATGTGACTTCACGTATGGGGTGCATATGTGACTTCTCGTATGGGGTACCTTAGTACCTTCACGTATGGGGTGCCTATGTGACCTAACATATGGGATGCATATGTGACTCAATGTATGGGGTGCATATGTGACTTCACGTATGTGGTGCATATGTGACTTCTCGTATGGGGTACCTTAGTACCTTCACGTATGGGGTGCCTATGTGACCTAACATATGGGATGCATATGTGACTCAATGTATGGGATGCCTATGTGACTTCATGTATGGGATGCCTATGTGACTTCATGTATGGGGTGCATATGTGTGACTTCATGTATGGGATGCCTATGTGACTTCATGTATGGGGTGCATATGTGTGACTTCATGTATGTGTTGCCTATGTGACTTCACGTATGATGAGGTGCATATGTGACCTCATAATTTATCTTCAATTCCCAGTAGTACAACATATAATAATTCTACAGAGTTTACCATCCCGCCCCGATATCCTGAAAGATTACTGCTGTACACCATATGGGATGCCTATGTGACCTAACATATGGGATGCCTATGTGACCTAACATATGGGATGCCTATGTGACCTAACATATGGGATGCCTTTGTGACCTAACATATGGGATGCATATGTGACTCAATGTATGGGATGCCTATGTGACTTCATGTATGGGATGCCTATGTGACTTAATGTATGGGATGCCTATGTGACTTAACGTATGTGATGCCTCTGTGACTTCATGTATGGGGTGCATATGTGTGACTTCACGTATGATGAGGTGCATATGTGACTTCACGTATGATGAGGTGCATATGTGACCTCACGTATGATGAGGTGCATATGTGACCTCATAATTTATCTTCAATTCCCAGTAGAACAACATACAATAATTCTACAGAGTTTACCATCCCGCCCCGATATCCTGAAAGATTACTGCTGTACACCATATGGGATGCCTATGTGACTTAACGTATGGGATGCCTATGTGACTTAATGTATGGGATGCCTATGTGACTTAATGTATGGGATGCCTATGTGACTTAAAGTATGGGGTAAATATGTGACTTCATGTATGGGATGTCTATGTGACTTAACGTATGGGATGCCTATGTGACTTAATGTATGGGGTACATATGTGACTTAACGTATGGGATGCCTATGTGACTTAATGTATGGGATGCCTATGTGACTTAACGTATGGGATGCCTATGTGACTTAATGTATGGGGTACATATGTGACTTAACGTATAGGGTGACCTAGTGCCTTCACGTATGGGATGCCTATGTGACTTAACGTATGGGATACCTATGTGACTTCATGTATGCCCCGATATCCTGAAAGATTACTGCGTACCCGGTCACACAGAGAAACAAATTGTGTTAAGTGAGTTTAATAAGAGCGATCCGGGACCAACTCTAATTTTATTTATTTATTCAGTCATATTCTACACATCAGGTGGAATATTTTGATAAATCATATGTTGATTTTCGTCAAATCAATTTTTAGATAAAAACGCAAATTACATACGTATTTGGTCAAATTATTCAAATTAAGGGAAGTGCATTCAAACATGGTGAATGTTAATGAATGTTTTTTTTCTTTTTTTTAGTTACATTGTAAGCACCTCCAGTCCATGATGGACTATCAAGTCACGGTTCAAATGGCTGCACGACTCCGAGTCGGACAAAGCAGTTTTGGCCCAGGGCGGTTGATGTACGTCTGACAGTGACCGTACGAATGACATATTCTTCCATTAACGTTTTGCTAATTAATTAATTTCAACTTAAGGTTTGAAGTTCGGTGTTTGACGATTTTTGTCAGAATATTGCTCCTGCGTCACGGTAGTCTCTTATACAGTTCCATTCAAATATATATTGCGCCATCTACGGACACCCACTGGTTGACAGACAAATGAAATCCCGCTAAATCAAAAAACTCGTTTTTATAATAAGCGTAAGGCCAAGGGGTTTAGATAAATGTTGTTTTATAGCTGTATAATTATTAATTGAGTTATTTGTTTCCATCATTTGCCGTCAGATGCGTGCTGCACCCTAATATATATATATATATATATATATATATATCTGGGCAACCGCCGCGCCCAACCAACGCATTCTCTAACTTTTATTCTATCTGTTCCTCTCGAATATTCTTACATAAACTACGCCTTCTAAAAGTGCACTAGCTAGCCACATGGCAATGACTAATCATATTCCCAACATTAAACTAATCACAGACACGCCCGTTAACAATAATAGCAAATGATGTCATCTGATCTGATCTGCTGGTTCGTTTACTTTCGAACTGTGAAGTCCCCGAGTTTAAATTAACTCTATGCACAGACTAGTATCATTCAGTGCAGAATCGACCAAATGTAATTAATAAAACTTAATTTTACTTATATTGCTTTATTAGACAGTTGTTTGTTATAATTTACTATAAAGCGTCAGGTATTCCTTAGAGAAATAATACTGCCCCGACCGGCGTACTGTACGAGTCCATTGCAGGCAATTACACAACAAACTACAAATGTTTAACATGTCGTCAGCAAATGGCACAGGATCGCTAGGGTACTTTTACTGCAGAATGCATTCAGACGAGACGAGGTAAAACCATTCTATAACTGTATAGGTAAAAACATTCTGATTTAAATGTGGTGTGCAGAAATAGAATGATGACTTCACTTTAATATTATATTTACTGTGTGTGTATATATAATAATCGTAAATATTGTTTTGAAAGCGGCGCTCTGTGTCAATTTTAAACCAAGGAACTTGATAATGATGATTCGGGTAAAACTGAACATGATCGGGGTAATCGTTGGTGGCGTAACATGTCCACAATCACGAAACTAAGTGGCCCTTTAAGTGCTTGTCTAGCGATACGTCAATATTGTTGATAGTTTGCCCAAGTTACCTTTGTTAAATAAGTAGCGAACGAGGCATGCTTGAACACTACCCAGCTAAAAACGTTGACCTCAGTGGTTCAAAAGGTCATTTATTATCAACAAACCTGTGAGTCGTGAGAAGACATCGTGGAATAACAGTGAAAAGCTGTCAGTGTGGAAATCCCATACTCGCTCCGACACTAGACCATATAAGAATTCCACGTTTAGTTCTTTCTTGAAGATGGGTTGCAGTGGCAGTAAAAGCACCGGGGTGGACAGTCAGGTGAGCTGTATGAATGCATTATGCATGTATACGCAGATATAACTTCAAATCATCGGTTTCATACTCCCCAGCGTATTGTTTTCTTTATGTCTTGTTTTATTGCTTCAATGTGGGAGTCAGACTGAGGAAATGGACGTGCGGGTTGGGTACTGGCATATTCAGAGTACCTCGTACCATCTTCGACCGTCCGCGAGACACGGGAGAATTGGAGGTACTAGTCATCTATAAAGTGTTTGTTTTTTTCTTCATGTAACCGCTATTGCATGCGACGTATAATTTCGAATATGATATTTGGGGGATGAACCATTGAAGTGAGTACTTTCCAACTTCGCAAATGAAGGCAACATTTACCGTTTACCGCCCGTGTGTAGTCTCAAAAGGTCTAGTTTTGTATATAGATGATACCAGGTACGATGATCAGCCTCATCTAATGGAGCCAAAATAAAGAGGGAAATGAGGAAACGGGTCTATCTATAGTTATAATAATTATACCGACTCACATGTTCGCATGTGACTTTGGGTTTGACTCAAATAATAAATGCATTTTTTTCGTCGAGTTGAGTTAAATCACCACGTGCACTTGCGAATCACTAATATATAGAACTGACACGCACACTACGTACTATTAACAGAAAGGACAGACTGTCTGTCCCTGATTGGGAAAGCTTTCCTAACTTGAATGATTTGTAGCCACTGGAACTGCACAGGCCCTCAGGAAACACATTTTACTAAAATAAATCCCATTAGAGGGACGTTTCTCGGCCGTGATTGTATTTCAGTGAATGCATGGCGACTATAGAGCGTATTAGATATACACCCATTCCCTCTATACTTATGCGGGGTCGGTATTCGATCCCATGTCAACGAAGGCCACGGATTAACGTTTACTACACCGTACTGGCCGGGTGAGCTCCCATGCATTCGGCAATCTGTTTTCCCGTCAATGAATCATCAAAAATCAATCTACCGTACCACTGTTAGGCTACAATAGAGCTGTGCAATTCTAAAATTCAGCAAGTCATGGTGAATATTGGATACTAAAGAAAAAAATGAGTGATCGTTGGAAAATAAACACTTACATCCTTGTTTCTATGGGTTGCCATAACAAAACGATACCTTGACGTGGGTCAGTGACAAACTAAGTTACCGGGACACCTGTTTCCTTCGTTACATGTATTGACTGTATGGAAGCCATGGTGATTATAAAACAAATTAACCGTGATCGCCCATATGCAGATGGTGTTATTTCTTCTGTGTAAAAGTAACACGCCTGTCTCAAACGTCTTTTGCAATAATCTGCCCTTACGGTCAATATAAGGATATTTACATTAAAAAAAAAGTGTCGGACTTAACATCCTAATTTTTCGACGGCCATTTTGTCAGAACGCTTTAATGCGCCTTTACCATATGCCATCCTATGGTAGAGACATTATGAGGCTAGTACGAGAATGCCGCAAAGTAAGCGCGAAGGTAGTACTGTGATCGAATCGACCGATGCGTACCATACTGCCTGAGTGCATGCATACTTTGCGGTATTTCCTTGATAACCTTATTATTATACATCTGTTCTTTGCTTGTAGTAATAATTTAATGTGAGATAACAGCAAGAAATGGCAATAAAAAACGTTTCGCGATGTGTTAACATTTGCGTCCAGTGACGGGGTTCTATTTCCATCGTGCGCTGATAGTGCTTCTGCGTCGCAAGTAAACAAAGAAATATGTTCGAATCTGACGTAAATGTGACGCACATTTTTCAAATAAAACACCTTGTTAAACGCGTTCATGACACTTTTGACGGCGTTTTACGGACAGAAAAATTCTATTGTTTCTCGTGTCAGATGTATAATATGCCATGTCTAAATTTGTTTACCATCTTGTTACTCTAAATCATCAATAATCTGGTTTTAAAAGGCAAGTTCCTTGCGACATTTTCACCTCAAACTAAGATACTTTCTATTCCTTTTCCCTATGTTGGCTTGAACTACAATACCCAGTTTCCTTGACCAATAATAACTCACGTTTGCTTTATCTTTTTTCAGAGCACAAGCAAAATAGTATTGCACTACTTCGTTGTCCGAGTCCGTGCCGAACCGATACGACTTCTTTTGCACTATGGTGGAATTAAATTTGAAGACAAAAGATACACAATGGAACAATGGATGGAGATGACTAAGAGTGAGTATTGATAAACTGTATTATTATGTTTCTAATTTTATTTCTAAATCTATGTTACGCAGAATTGTATATTGGGTATTTTTTCTAACTACAGAGGGTGAGTTCAGGGGTCCGTTTGGTGTTCTGCCATATGTTGAATATAACGGTGAGATTTTGGGACAAAGCATCGCTATACTAAGATTCGCTGCTAGATCAGTCGGTAAGTTGTAATATTTGTTGTCGAAAGTTTTGTCGTTGTGATCACGTTTGTTTAAAACAATATTGAATGGTGTACATTTCTGCAGCTGTCGAGATCCACAAAGCCCCGAGTCCTCGAGAACAAGACGTCTATGAGTAGTGTCGATCTGATTTCTGTTTGAACTAATCTCATGTTCACCTCATTACCGCGTTGACCGTAAAGCGCCATGGCGTGTATTCAATTATATTTCAGGAGTGTGTTACATATTATTACATTATTGTATTCATTTTCAGGTGCGTTCGGAGAGAATGCTGTGGAAACAGCTCAGGCGGACAGCATAGCTGACACCGTAACTGAATTGGTGGAACCGCTTAGCGGCCTCTTACTTATGAAGCCAGATGACATGGTAAGCCCACCCGTCCAGGGCTGTATATCGAGATGCGAAACATCGTATCAACTCGGCCGAGTTGCATTGACCATTATTATAATCGTATATCCACGAAATACACAATTGCGCCATAAAGTGCGAATATTTTACCGTGTTTTTTTTTGTTTTTTTTAGGAGGAACAATTGAAAACCCTTTACGCTGCCACTATTGTTACAAGTATGAAAATGTTAGAAAACCAAATCTCGACGACGAACGACGGCAAAACAGGGTATCTAGTTGGCAAGAAGGTAATGAATCATCGTACTCTCTTACATTTCATCATCACTGTATCTATGACGTCATGATTGATAAATATGAATGTATAAATAGGAAATTATAGATTGTAATTTATACGTGTTCGATGAAATAACGAAAACGTTATACGCATTCATCTGGGATTTACCTTACTTATACTAGTATTCAATAGACCATTTTCCGTTCACTGCGAGATCCCGCGTTATGCGTGAAGTCGAATGTATAAACAGGACAAAGGTCATAGCTTCGTATGGTTGGATGGCTGTCATACACATGCTGGCCTTCAGTTGACTCCACCGCCTCCCGATAACATTAGAACATTCGATACAACAACTTAAAATTATCAGTATAGGAACAACATAAATAGACTACATGTATTTACGTATAATTTCTTTCTCAGATTACACATGCTGATTTCATGGTGTTCAATATTATGGAGACGATAGAGAAGACGTATCAAAAGGACGATTTGGACATCTATGCGGAATTTCCACTACTGAAAGGTCATCGCGACCTTATAAAAAATTTGCCACAGCTGCAAAAGTACCTTAATTCACGTCCTGACCTACCTTTGTAGTGACAGTCTTATAACTAATACAATAATTGTCTGTTTAAATTGGGAAATTCAACTTTGAGGTGACACAATTAGTTAAACTAACATGTACTTCCAATAAATTATTTAGGTTCGTATCCTGAAAAATAGTACAGTTTAATTGTATTTTAGTAACATCCCGACTTATTTCTTAAGCGGAAATTGCTCTTGCCTGAATAACCCACCAACAACAATAATAACAACGGGAGCTAAGGATTAGTAAACCACCTCACGTTCAGTTACACATTTTGTTTTTGCATATTGCAACTTTTGTACCAAGTTTGTTATTTTTGTAGAAATGCTTCATTTTCCATGTACATATTTTCATTATTCCTCCGTAACAAATAAATACCGAAGTGTATGATAAAAATAAACTGGTAATTTGTGTGTAATTTCATATATGACGGATTGAGTATATGAACAATAACAAGGAGCAGGGTTGTTACCATAATGTTGTATTTGTTAAAGCGGCAGGGTCGTCACCTGCGCACGCGCTGGAATTGCGTCTCGAGCGACGATAACAACACACGCTAAAAACGCAAAGGCTCATGGGTAGACGCTTGTTTGTAAACAATGGCACGCTATGGCCATCTGACGCATGCGCAGGTGACGACTCCCCCGCTTTAATCCCTTGAATACTGATTCCAACTGATTGTTTTGGTACCAAATGAATACACACAGGAATACAAATTCCCGGATGTACGATACGGTCCATACCCAAATTTCCAAAAATCACAGCTCATGGCGCTTCAACAGTGGGACTAATAACAAGAAAACATGTACTAAAGGACCATCTTCTTCGATCATATCAAACACACCCCATGATCATTCGCCATAATATGTTACAAGTTGCGAGAACAAAAAAATAACAATATGATAAAAACGACAAGTGCAGTTAACCAGTCATGAATATAATTTTTTTTTTGGCATAATTTCAAATTCTACTTTCATGCTGATGTCACAAGCCTTGGATACTTTTGAGCGAGGACACATTTTATGGAGTGAGGTCACTCCTTATTGGGAAAATTAGCATATTGGATACACTCAAATGATATTACACCATATTCCTCAATAACATAGTAACACACCTCTCGATGAGCAATCGATACATACTACTATCTATGGAAGGTACCTTCCATGTATTATCCAAGCTTATTTTATCTGAAAGAATTAAACAGATAACAAAACGTAATATTTTATCGGCTCGAGTGGTCTCCAAGCATTCGAACCCGACAATTGAGTCGGCCTCTCAATTTATGAGTCTCGATATGACTAATTCTGCCACGCCCAATGTGATTTGGCAAATTTCATACTGCATGTATTAACAACAGTCGACACGAGCGACTACCGCACGGTCACATGTTTTGAAGTGTCTCGGAAAAGAAATTTGTAACCAATTTGACCTACGCCATTAAATGGGTCACATAAAATATATATATCAAATATATATCAAAGCATCATGTATTCTAGGCAAGTAGAGATGAACCTAAAATTTATGTCGAAAATAAGTAACAACAGCACACTAATTGTTGCTTATAGAGCCTTTAAAATAGTTATCAGTGAGTGATGTAATTTCCCTTTAAGCATTGTTTGAGAATTTTATCGGCAAATCAAGTTGGGTACTGGACACTAGACTGTCTTCTATTGTTTTTTTAATTAAGTTTCAAACAGAAATTAGTAAACGTTTTTGGCTGAAACATTATTCGTTGGATCTCTCTTTTAATGGTATGCGCGGTTATTAAAAAAAATAAAAACCTGTAGCTCCCATGGGTATGTTGACAATCCCTGGTATTGCTAAACCAACAGTTTCAAAACATTCTCAACTCCGATGAAAAAACAAGTTTCTGCCACTCACCGCGAAAGCCAGTCATCGCGAAAGCCATTCATCGTGAAGCTACTAGTAATACATTAAAGGGAAACCGCTCAATCCCATGGATTGCACCAATGAATCATGGGACACTTTTGTTTATGTTGTTTACAAAGTTAATCTATCTTTTGTTATCCACTGTAATTTGAATCCAGAAAGTAAATTTGTTGTGAGATTAGGCTTAACTGGAAGTGCCCCTTTAAATAATATGATTTGTAATGGTAATTATTGAAACAACAGCGTCAGGCCAGTGTCACCATATTTCGTTCGAATGTTAATAGGGATGATCACATGTTTTTATATAAATGACTTTCGAAAAACTCCCCATTCTGTATTTTCTGTTTAGCCCCTTAGAGGAAGACAACTATTATGGTGATAGGAGCTTGCTAGGTGATTTGCTTCTTGAAAGCGTCGAATATTCACTCTCCTCGTTCGATGAGCGGTCAGCCTTACATATAAATGTCAAAACTATAAATTATAAGTGAGAACGACCACAAATTAGTCGAAATAATTTTATATTATACATGCGTCAAAACTCATAATCAAAGTGAACAATTATATATAGCACCACGTATCTAGTATCTAGAAAAAATCCTGACCCACCGTTGCCATGGAAACAGCCAAAACAACCTAATTTTTGAATACCTACGCGCAAAATGCATCCGTCTCCTTCTATAAATCTTGGCGTAAACACCTCAATTTGGCTATTACTATTTTGAGTATGTCCTACCATTACCATGGCAACACCCGTTTTTTTAGCGGCCTAGCGGATCGACAATCAGTCTACCGGCTTGTTTTCTGTTTGGTTCAATGGGTTCAGCTCTGATATAAAATAACATTATATTATATCAGTCTTTACTCTAAGCCAATAACACTAGAACATGCTGTCAAATAAAAAAACAATGCGCATGCTCAGCACATAAACCTTGTACAAAAGTCAGTTAAAGTCTTCCGCTTGCTTTACACTCTGCTAGCACCGAGAAGCGACTCTGTCATTCGAAGCCAACTTGAATCACTTATCAAGCGCACACTATGACTAAGCTAAAGTTAACGTATTTTGACGGTCCAGGTAGAGCAGAAGCTATCCGTCTTTGCTTCGTGGTTGGAGGAGTCGAGTTCGAAGACGAGAGAGTTAATAAGGAGCAATGGGGAGCCATGAAAACAGGTAAGTCGTCAGCTCTATGATAACGAGGAACTGTGGAATAGTTAAACTACGGGGATATGCAAGTTTCAATGTATTGCAATCAAAGATGTTTCTCGGCGTTGCATATAATTGGTATTCTTAAGTTATTTATATCGTCAATGTGAAAAAGATATCAGTTATAACTTGATTTGAAAATAAAAAATACACAATGAGGAAGATCCAGTTTACTATCGAGTGTAAACAGGTGTTCTTGGATAAATTGCTTTTAAATATGCAAATATGAATAAATAACAGATTTATCTTATCAGTAGTTGACAAGACACGTTTTTTTTCCATTATCGCGAATGTAAATATAGTTCAAGTTCAAATTGATGGATGTTGTATTATCCCATCAGATCGATGGTCAAAGTCGTCTAATAACAAAAATGTCATTATATTTATTTCGTCAAATTCAAGAACGTATTTTCTGGCCTTTGTAGGGCGAACTTTTATATTAGCCGTTAGTTCCTAAGAAATGTATGTATGAGTATCCTGCGCATGGAGTTGCCTGGACAATGTGCTAGTAAATAAAAACATGTCATTCGAACTGTACGCCTGGTCGATGCCCTTCGTCAACAATCTAACGCTTGCTTTTCAAAGTGTTTTTGTTCGCGAGACAATGCAATACCTCAACCATATTCAAAGGCACATACCTATTATTAACAGCTAGGTGCCTCAAAGAGAACCCCCTAACACGCTATAAATTGCAAAAAATTGCAAAATGGCAGCAAAATATATTGTCGGCAACATTAATCACGTCTCCTAGATTTTATAAATAATGTCGAAGATTTGATTTTATATTTTTCATAATTGTATTATACATTGCTAGATACAATTGTGATTATCGCATAGTGTTGCGTTGAAAAACGAACGCATCAGGCCTGAGGGCGTCTTACTGTGCCAGCCTGACAATAGTACTTTGTAGTTTCATGACTGTGCAGAATCAGCGTATTGTCATATTGTAAAACAATATTGCTGAGTCATTGTTCGCTAGACGAGTAGACAATAACGCGACGAATGCAAGTCACTGTGATAAGTTAAAGTGAAGGAAATAAGTCCCTTTTTTACTCATGATTTTTTTTTCAAATAACCAAAACTTTTTTTTTTGTCAACAGCGGCTTTGGAAAATGAGAAAAGAAATATATGTCAGATGCCATTTTTGCCTTGGTTGGAAGTAGATGGAGTCGTTATCAGTCAAAGTCTCGCCATTCTAAGATACGCCGCCGCAACAGCAGGTACTGTATGTCTTTATTTGTTCTTCTAGTTGTTGAGGGCGCACTAACCCGGACGTTTATTGGAGGATTGCAGCGATCACACGCACAACTTCCCATAGTCACAATGTACACAACTTGAAAAACAGGGGCTATTAAGATTCCAGTACTAGTACACAACATTTAACACAATGAATAGAATGATTTCTCTATTTTTCTATATTTCTAAAAAAAATGTCATTATCGCGGTATGATCTCGGTATTATCAGGACATGTCCCCCGCCAAATACCGACTGTCAGTTGTCATTTTCGCTAAAATCCCACTAAAAATCTATAGCTATACAAAAGTTGAAACTGGCACTCAATTATCAGGGTAATTATCAATGTTCAGTATTGTTGAATTGGGCATATTACATTTTTTGCATATTATCAGTTGTAAATTTGGGTATCCTTGGGGGCGGAGCTACGTCACAAGACGTTCCACGTTGCTAAGACGCGCATCACGTACCATGCATTTCTATGGGTTCTGTGCGCGCTGCTGTGGAACGCCGGTCGAGCCGGTGAAAATCCGAGAAAACAACACAAACTCAACTTTGAAGTAATCCTGAACAACCAAATTTATATATGTTACACACGTAAGGCTAATCTTGTTACACTGTTCAGGGAAGTCTCAACAACCATTCCAAAGTACCGTTTTCTGCGAGTTTTTGGCCTTTGTTTTCACCGCAAGGGTTGCCAAGCGATGAAAATGCCCGGATGTCCGCCCCGAGGATTATGATATTGAAATAATGGCTCTTATCGTTCAATGAGTTCGGTAATATGTATTTCGTACAATCGCGCCCTCTACTGATGAATTGAAAACAACTTGTTATTCAACTCGATAAATGTGTTTGGTTTTGTAGTTGTTTGTCATTGAGAATATAATGAATCTTTCAAAAACATTATCTTTTTACTGACGGACAACCAATAAAAAAAGTTATTATTCGTGTTGTTTTACATATATGACGTAAACAGTACGACATGCACATATTCTAATTATTAGTTTTTATGCTATCCAGGTTTGGATGGAAAGGCACCACTGGAAAAAGCCAAGATTGACATGGTATTAAGCACGTTTCAAGAGTTGTTAGAAATCACGGTGAAATATGTGTTGGCGGAAGAAAGTGACAAGGCAAGTATTATACGGGACTTTGCAGCTATAAACGGAGAATCAGCTCATCCAGGCACGAAATGTAGTTACACCTGCATGCTTGGTATATAATCACTGGGTTTTAATTTTGCTCATTTCGCTAACTGGAGAATGCGCTAAATTTAAAACCCAGTGATTATGTAAAATTTAGCATAGAACACATTATCTAAATGATAAAACAGTGAATTCAAAAACCACTGAAAATGCCTGAAATGCCAAATCAGTGAAATTTAAGTGAAAATTATTCATTTGAGTATATAATATATTTAAAAAAAAATTCAATATCAGACATACAATTGAAATACGTTTCAACAAAACTATATAAGTATACACAATCCGTGGCAGTATGCCACATTAGGCAACTAGTTTAGCTCATATATACCTACTGATCAACAATTCAATTTAAAACAAAAATCACATATTAATTCTGGCACTTACAATTTCGTGACTTTTAACTTTTACTTTGCCAAGACTTCGGATTATTCCTTCTAGTTCGGCTTGGTAGTCACTGTTCGTCCGAGTAGCCTCCAGTACCGCCACGAACAGACTGATATCTCGAACGATGTGCCTCTGTTTTAACTCCCAGTGATGGGACAGGGCAGGACCGTCACATAGTTCCCCCTGTAAAGTATAATGCAATGTATGAGCGTGATAGAGTGGGAGGCTAACAGTTGTATGTGGCAAATATGGACTGTTAACGACAATTTAATGGGACAGTACGGCTTCGTAAAAAAGAAAGTGACAAGGCAAGTATTATACGGGACTTTGCAGCTATAAACGGAGAATCAGCTCATCCAGGCACGAAATGTAGTTACACCTGCATGCTTGGTATATTTCTCCGATCCACACAAACTGACGATATATGGTCACGTACTAGGTCATGGTTGTTTAATACTCATTGCGTTTTATTTGACAGGAACAAGTGCTTGAAAAAGCCAAAGAAGTGTGGAAAAAAATGCTGACCAAATTAGAAAGTATGATGAAAGAGAGCAATGGTGGGGGAAAATGGCTGATTGGCAATGATGTGAGTTACCATGACAACGCTTCTATACTTTCGTGATTAGTAATATAATTGCGTGGGGCATTGGTCGTACTCTTGTGTCATGTGTGGGCCCAAGTTGGTACTGTGAGAATATGTCGTACAATTGTCTGGCATGGTCGATTCTTTAAATTCATTGTCGTGTTCCCCTACACCCAGCCAATGCATATGTCTCATGGTGTGTACAGTGAAGGAGAAGTTGTGAAACCGTCTTTTGGCCCGTGCTAACATATGTCTAGCATTACAAAAACCACACTAGCATAGAATAATCGGATCATCGTCAAAAAAATGAGAATTTTATGGGGGGTATTTTGAGAGGAAGAGTGTCGCTTCATTTTATAATCGTGTGGGTGGGGGCAGTAGATTTATAATCTCGTCGGGGTCGAACCATTCTGTTCCACAGCTTCTCGTTTTCTGTATCGAGACATACACGCCGTAATATTTTCAACGAAACTGCGCCACCAACGTTCGCTTTATCAAATTATTACACGTTAATGGTCACTGCCAGGGTGTGAATTGCAATGATAAATACTTTGCACGGCTAAAATGTAGAAAGTAACGAGCAGTCGATCATACAACTAAACGCTACCATGTTTTTTCTTATCAGATGTCTGCAGCGGACATAGTTATATTTTCATTCCTCAAACAAACGGACGCACGCTTGTCTTCCATGGTGAGTAAAAGTATATACGATGATCTGGACATCCCTTGTCTCAAAGGACTGGCTGAACGAGTTGGGCAGGTGGAGAAAATAAAAGAATACTACGACAAACAGGCGGAACAATCAACTAAATCGTAGTTTGGGTGTGTGATCTAATTTAAACAGAATACTTTCTTAAGGTAGCGAGAAGGGAAATTTTCACTTTTTTCTTGATAGAAGCAGTAATTGTCCATAAAGTAATCTAGGTACAAACTGAGACTTGTTTGCACTTACAATCGATTGAGATTTCTTGTCTCACAGTCAAAGAGCAAAATTGTCGGATTCTACAAATCGAAAACGAAAAAGCTCACTCAGTCAATATTCATTAGTTTCGACGTTTTTTTGTATTTTTTTTCCAGTTTAAATCTGTGTAACATTAAAGTCTAAATAACATGTGCTGTACCAAATGAGGGTAACATGTTAAAATGACTACACCCTAGACACCCCAGGAAAACTAAAGCATAGGGGTCTTCACCCGCGCATACGCGGGAATTGAGCCTCGATCACATCGACGCGAGCTAAAAACGCAAAGACTCATGGGTAGACGTTTGTTTGTAAACAGTGACACGCTATGTACGTCAGCTGCATGCGCAGGTGACGACTCCCAGGCTTTAATTTTGATCGAAAAAACTATTTCCAGACAGTTAATTTAGTTAATTTATATTGCATAGAATGAAACTGGGAACCATGTCCTTTTAACAAGATTTGTCTTTCTTTGTACTGGGACCACGTAATAATACTGAGGTCATGTTATATCAATTATGGTATGTTTTCTGTAAATATTGGGGGTGATCTGAAAAACCAACCTACTGTGTTAATATTTGCGCAACGCTCTCTAGTTAAAGCACTACTGTAGGGCTTGGATTGCAACTTTCACTGATGGAAACGTCATACACAAGGCATATTGTTCCGTGCAGTGTTTTTTAATACATTCTGTGTTATTTCAAATAAAATATTAGACCATAAAAGTATGAAATGCATATGTCTGTTTATTATATATCATACAGTCGTGATCGACAAAACTATTTTATTACATGTTTTTATCTCGTAAAATACAATATACTAAATTATGCACACAATATCAAGTTAGTTTGGTTAACATTTTATATTAAAGTTTGTATACATACTGCCACCAACGGTAATAACTGACTCCAACCCAACCGCGACCATAGTCACTTATTTAATATAAATGTTACATTTGATCACGTTGTATGTTGAACTGCACATTGAATATTACACCACCACATTATGCAGGTCGATTAACGCCATCACCGTCGGTTTCAATTTTAAGCGCCGTAGTGACAAAGAGGGCGCAACACACAACTCATCAGTAAGTTTTATAACGAATTTTAACACGGCGGATAATAATTATCCATATATGGGCATTTATTAAGAGATTACATTAGTGATACTTAGTATCTACGTGTCGTTTCCATTATACTTGGTTGTGTATTACAAGAGAAGTTTTCACACAAACTGTAATTTATTGTTTAGAAAATATTTGTAATTTTTCCTAACATCATGCAACACTAAATTTCTACGATGGCTTTTAAACTTATTTTGTCAATAATAATTTCATAGTTTTAGAATTATTGAATACAATAACAAAACAGATTATTAAATAACTTTTTGGTATTAAACAATGTTCCTGGTATATTCAATCGAAAATTTACCATATCGTTATTAGTTTTGAAATGAAACGTTAGAAAACACGTCGTGTAATTAAATCCTACATGAAATACTGTTCTAAGTTTCATTCTAAACGTTGTCACCTACACCTACATAAAAAAACACGCTAATACACGCTAAAAATATTCCTGGTTATTACATTCAGTTTGTTCCGGTAGCTGTTGAAATGGAACAGCACCGTCAATAATGAAATTTTGAGCTTCGAAACCTCGGTTGCAAGTAGAGAAATCAAACCTTTAAACGCGTATATATTTTTGGTTCTAACAAGAATCAACACGAGAAAACCCACTTCTCTCATTGACCAGAATATCAAATATTTCAACTTCCATCTTGAGCCTCTGTAGGAAGAGCAAAAGTCGATGCACTACCGCTATAGTGAAAGCATCTCTTTCAACTGGAATGTCGGTGAATACGGTAACTGGCTGATCAATATCCAGGCCGAAATGTAACAACTAAAAAAAAAGAATTGAAATAATTGATGTTATATGACACTGCATTTGCGATATTACCAGTATATAACGTAGAAGACAATCTTCTAATTAGTATTCACTGTACGAAAGAAATTGGTGCATGCGCAGTAGTTGACAGTACTGTAAAATGGTTAATTAATCACTGGGTTTTAATTTTGCTCATTTCGCTAACTGGAGAATGCGCTAAATTTAAAACCCAGTGATTATGTAAAATTTAGCATAGAACACATTATCTAAATGATAAAACAGTGAATTCAAAAACCACTGAAAATGCCTGAAATGCCAAATCAGTGAAATTTAAGTGAAAATTATTCATTTGAGTATATAATATATTTAAAAAAAAAATCAATATCAGACATACAATTGAAATACGTTTCAACAAAACTATATAAGTATACACAATCCGTGGCAGTATGCCACATTAGGCAACTAGTTTAGCTCATATATACCTACTGATCAACAATTCAATTTAAAACAAAAATCACATATTAATTCTGGCACTTACAATTTCGTGACTTTTAACTTTTACTTTGCCAAGACTTCGGATTATTCCTTCTAGTTCGGCTTGGTAGTCACTGTTCGTCCGAGTAGCCTCCAGTACCGCCACGAACAGACTGATATCTCGAACGATGTGCCTCTGTTTTAACTCCCAGTGATGGGACAGGGCAGGACCGTCACATAGTTCCCCCTGTAAAGTATAATGCAATGTATGAGCGTGATAGAGTGGGAGGCTAACAGTTGTATGTGGCAAATATGGACTGTTAACGACAATTTAATGGGACAGTACGGCTTCGTAAAAACTCAATAATATTATATCATGATTTTAACTGGGAAGATTTTCGCATACCAATCCGTTCCAACGACGACTTGAGGTTGGAATATATTCATCTATAAATCCTCTTTCCAAGTCGCTCAATGATGTAATTGACTCTGTGTAGTCCATTACCTAGCAAACAAAAGAACAGTGAAATATTGGTGATCAATACATGTTCTACCATTAGGCCACACTGATTTAATTTTATGGATGACATCCTCTGGAGACCCCAAAACTAATGCGAGAGGGCGAAAAAAAAAATCCTGCCAAAAAAAAATGCTGCTAAAACCACAGGACTACGGAGCTGGTATTACGAATTGAACCACAGAACACAGTGTATCGAAAAAACAACAACAAGTCTTTATTTGTAGAATGCACATGTTGATGTACACATCTCGTACTGTATTATTGTCACGGGTATAACCATTTCAGACAAGCTCTAGTACATGTAGTCATGATGAAGTACCTTCAGTCAGAAACATTGCATTCAACGTACAGCATGAACACCATTTTCAGTACAAGTCAAGGCGGAATGTACATATCACTACTTTATGACAATAACTAACAAAACATTGCAATGATACAGAAATGTCCTTGCTTGCTCCTCTTTACACAGCTGGGGTTAGCTTTAACTGTGTTGTCAGATGAAATGAAGCCTACATGTTAACACTGCAAATATGTCTAGTGTCCCATGTCTAGGGATCTCAACCTTAAGTATCAAAAAAAAAAATGATCTCTTGCACTCCTCTACACCCCACACATCGATCTCTTCAACAATAGGTTTTTTCTTCC